TTAAGTTAATCCAGAAGTGTTGGCTTGCATAAACTCAAGTTGGGTCATTGTTACTTCTTTGTGTTCAAATCAAAGAGCTATTTTCCAGCTTCTTCTGACTTTGTAAAGTTTAAGTCAAGAGGATTATTCCTCAATAGTATTCCTAGAGTTTATAAGTTTATGCTGCGAAAGAAAATGAGACTCTATAAGGTCAACAATTTTCGTTTTGTTCAAATTATATATACTTTCGTAATCTGAAATAGGCCTAATGCATTTTATCCACAGCAAGTTACCTTTGCGGAACACGATTTGCGCTTGTTAATGACGATAATGAAGAACCCTTACCGCGACTGCCAAGGGTTTATTTTATTTTTTACGTACTGAAGTTCTTTTTGCTGTTCGTAGAATGTTTAAAAATCTTTTGTAACCCAAGAATTAGTTTAATGCTTGTAAACATTCGAAAGCAAGTTACGTAACGATGACCGGAAGATTCTTTACAGAAGATCCAACTTTTACGACTAACGTTATGAATCTTTAACGAAGTTTTCTAGTTCAATTTTCAGAGTTCCTCCAGTAAAATTGTACTTTCTATGATGAAACTACAGGAAAATCAACACAAAGTTTAACTAGTTATAGTCAAAGCAACTTAGCTCAGAATAACAACAATAGTTTTCGAAAGTAATCAACAAAATGAAACTTGTTTCAACTGGAACTGACGCAGAAAATGAAATAAAATGTGCTTCTTGAGAAATGAAATAAAGTTCTTGTAATTTTCTTTAAAATATCTTTTCTTTATTAAAACAAAAACTCACATATTTAGAGCGGTTTTTTTCTTTCCTATTAAATAATGAAGAATCCGTATGTGTGTAGGACTATATATATATATATATATATGGGTGCGTATATGTGCATATGTGTTGTAAGTACATACACTGGTGAAATAAATTAAGAGAATTTGCGTATTTTATCGAATTGCATGAAAAGAACTGAACTGAAGGAAAAACCACTGCTTCTAGATAAAAATGAAACTTTTGTACGGCAAATACGTAAGCGCACACGTGAGTGTAGGCGGAGCCAGCAGGAAAACAAGCTTTATAAGCGCGTGGAGGGTAAGACGAATTGCGTTCACTAGCATACTTCAGCGAATTTCTTGGTGTTATCTTGCAGCAATCGGTTAAATTCACATCGGAACAGTAAAAATGAGTAACCACCAATGTTTAGATGATGGAATAAGGTGGCAAATTGTCGGAAGGTTAGAGGCAGGCTAATCGCAAGTCCAGATATGCAGAGAAGTTTAATTTAACGCCCAGCATCGTGTGTAACCTATGGAAACAGTTCCAGGATACTGGATCCATCGAGAGAAAGCCTGGGTAAGGTCGTCCAAGAGCCACAACGGCCAGAGAAGATCGTTCTTTGCCCATTTTAGCGAGGCGTAACAGACGGGCTACAGCTTCTCAACTCTCTGGGGACCTGTATGCAGCCACAGGAACCCGTGTAACAAGGGACTGTTTCTAAAAGACTGAATGAGAGAGGTTTGTTTGCCAGAAGACCGGCTGTTTGCGTCCCGCTTACGTCTGCGGACAGGAGAGTCCGATTAGCATCGTACAGGCAGCATAGTGATTGGAGTACGGAGCAATGGGCGCCCGTTCCGTTCACTGACGAGTCCCGTTTTAGCCTAAACACTAATTCTCGCCGTACGTTCATATGGAGAGAGCCAGGGACCCGCTACCTATCGTCCAAAGTCCACGAAATCGAAATTGTGGCGGTGGCGGTGTAATGGTCTGGGTAGGCGTGATGTTGGAGGGCCGCACATCTACGTCTTTGACAGAGGCTCTGTGACTGGTGTGAGGTACAGGGATGAGGTTTTGGAGCCCTATGTTTACCTTTTCCGGGGTGAGGTGGGCCCCGAGTTCATCTTGCAGGACGATAACGCGAGACCACATAGAGCTCTACTGGTCGACGAATTTCTCGAGAGTGAGGATATTCGCCAGATTTATTGGCTAGCCAGGTCTTCAGATCTCAACCCAGAGCATATTTGGGACGCTCTGGAGGAGGGCAATTTCAACTCGCAATTCCCCTCCGAGAACTATCCAGCAACTGAGAACAGCGTTGCTGAATGAGTGGGATCAATTGCCACAGGCACTGATAAACTGCCTTATTTCCATTATGACATCACGCTGCAAGGCCTGTATGGCTATAAGAGGGGAACATACCCCCTAGTAACTCATTTTTCGTGTCTTCTGTAACCGCTGTTTCAGACCTTCAGACCCTCATGAGTGTTACACGCGAACATGTGTATATTATAACTATTGAAAGTTTATTTTGTTTGTATTATATGAACCTAAGTTCACACCAAATTTTATTAAAATCTGTCCAGTAGTTCTGAATATGGTAGATCAAATATAAAAATTCTCTTAATTTCTTACACCAGTGTATTTATATACATGTATTATTTATATGTATATGTCTATTTATATGTATGTATGTATACTTATATATGTATGTATGCAGGTATGTATCATTGCATCACACTTAGCCTTCTATCGATGCATGTGCATCTAGAAGCTCAAATATTGAGTTTCGAATTTCCTTTTCATTCATTTCATATTTTATACCAATTCAATGAATATATGAATAATTAAGTGAGCGATTTAAAAGTAGTGTATTGCCGCTGATCGAAATAAAACATTTTTATCTTCTGCGTAACAGTGTGCTGCCTTTCGGTAAAACGTAAGCTATTCAACTTTTAAATTCAATCTGTGAGTTAGCAAAGTGAGCGATTTAAAAGCAATAAAAGCAGCTCTTAATAATATTTTTTAAACTTTCTTTAATATGATCGATTAAAGTAAAAATACATTTAATTGTCTTCCTTAGCTGGATTCGTGCAAATCCTTCGTACAGAAATCTTTCAGTATTCATTATGCTTATGTTCATCCTCTCTATCTGATATCTTGTAGTTTTAAAGCTCCTTTGTCTCTCTCTCTCTTTCTGTATATATATATATATATAAACACACACATTCGTGTGCAAAATTAAGAGAATTAGCCAATTATAACTGTTTTTTACGAAAAATATTGAACCAAGGTACTAATTATGCCACCGAATAATTATGCAAATTTGCAGAGTCGGAAAAAATAAGCATACACGTGCGTGTCTATCCTGATATGATTGTTGAAGGGATATAGGCTTAAGAGGGGTTTTCGTCAATTTGTGTGTTCGTAATTCCTCAAGACATTCGCCGTGTTACTCGCAGTAACTGGGTATTTTTTTATATGGTATCAGGTAAAATTATTAGCCACGAACGTGTGAATGACGTAATGAGCTGCAGAATTGTCGGCAGGTTGGAGACAGGCCTATCACAAGCACAGGTGGTTGCAGAGCTCATTATAACACCCAGTGTCGTCTGCAATTTGGTAGAAGGGCTTCAGGACACTAGATTCATATCGAGAAGTCCTGAACAGGGTCGGCCAGGGTCAAAAATGATAAGTGAGAATCGCTATTTTGCACTTTCATCCCGGCAAAGCAAGAATGCCACAGCTTTACAGCTCTCAGATGAGCTGTGCACTGCCACTGGAACCCGAGTTTCATGAGCTATAATTCTCCGAAGGCTTCATAAGACAGGGCTGTATTCCTGAAGACACTTTTTTTTGTGTCTTGCTGAGGGCAGCACACAAAGGAGCACATTTAGCGTGCTGCAGACAACATACTTCTTGGACCAGACTTCAGTAAGCACAGTGCATTTTACAGATGATTCAATGTTCAGCCTGGCACTGATTCTTGGCGTACTTGTATTTGGAGAGACAATGCAACACCATGCTTTCCCTCCCTCAACAGGAAAAAGGATCATTACAGCAATGGAGGTGTAATGGTTTGAACAAGTTATTATATTGGATGGCCACACACACCTGCATGTGTCTGCCAAAAGCTGCCTGACTGCTGTAAGGTATAGAGAGGAGATCTTAGAGTCCCATGCTTTTCAGGGGCGCAGTTGGTTCTGGGTCCTTGTTCATGGACAACAATGTTCGTTTACATAGTGCTCAGCTGGCCGACAAATAGCTGGAAAGTGATGATATTCGAAGCATCGATTGGCCAGTCAGATCCCCTGACTTTAACCCTATAGAACATATCACAACTCTCTTGAGAGAGCAGTTTCATCTCGCAGTCTGCCTCTGAGAATCATGTCGGAGATGAAAGCGCTACCTTGCTACAGGAGTGAGCGGTAATTTAGAGGGGCTATTAGTTTCGAAACGGTATTTTGCGTTGTTTCACTTTTCAACTTATTGCCACCAAATATTATTGCCATGTATTAAACTTAAAAAAATTAAGTGATGAAGAATCTGCATGAATATATATGTTTTTCGCATTGTGAAAAAAAGACTTTACCTAGAGCCGTCAAAATTTGAATAACGTAATCCTCCACCCGAGCATGGGCACCTGGACGCCTGAATTTCGAATTTGCTTTTTTATCTATCTCACGTTATGCAAAACATTAATGAATTTCTGAAAGCGAAGATATGAAACATTGTACAGAAAATAACATTTTTGTCTCCAGAGAGCGAAACTTTCTATGGGAAATTCTAAAAATATGTCGTTTTTAAATATTTTCTGATATTGCTCTTGAACTGAATGCTATGTTGTTTAAGTGCGAAGAACAGGGTATTTAATCAATAAAGTTAGCACACAAAACATTAAAAAAAGAACGCTACTTCGAGGGTAATATAAAATTTGAAAGCCTTTTTTTCGGGGGGGGGACTGAAGAAGCATTTGTGTGTGTCCGCGCTCAAAATCGGCAGAAATTTGTTAAAAACCTACCCCGGTGTAATGTTCCTTTTTTTTATCTGATTTTGAATTTTCAGTCGCATGCTTTTGTTCCAATTAAGTGTTTTGTATATTATACAACAATGATACTACTTTAAGAGAAATTGCGGATGTAAGTTGGGATCTGGAAAAGTGATATTGAAAATTTTCTAGTATTATTTCCTTGGCTTTATTTTCTTTTTCTTCTTTTTTTACAGGCTCAAAGAATATTAAACTGGCCAGACATAGGTCCATGGCAGCATTTCTGAAGTTAATCGAAAAATTATAAAATCCACAGAACCTTTCTGAGAGATTTGTGTCATTTTCATCCCGTTACTTTCATTCCTGTTGAATAAACAAGATAATACATTCATTACAGAAGCCGGAGCAGTTTCTTATAACAAGAAATTTAATCGCTTGAATCTCCGAGGGGGAAAAACTTCAAATCAGCAAGAAACAAATTTGTTCATAAAGAAAATATGCGAAATGTTTTTTTGTTTCTTCCTGTGCAAATATTCCTCTGAAACTTCGTTCGTTCCAGTGCCAGAATTTAACATTTTTTCCTCTTCTTTAATATTTGTTACTAATTGAGAACGCAGAATAAAAAGGAAATATGTTGACTAGCATCGTTTTTTAATGAAGAAGTGGAATTCCTTTGACGTTCTTGTTATTTGCTTTGGAAAATTATTCTGTAATATCATTTCAGCTTTCAAAAAGCTTTTGACATAAAAAGAAATAATTTTTGATAGAACACAAAGAAGTTCATGTCATACAGAGGATTTTGAAATTATGTTCTTGAAGTTAGCAATTTGACAACAATAAAGTTGGGATTTTTTTTATTAATACATGTTTCACACGTAAGTCGCGTGACTTATCGAATTGTAAAATTGAAAAATAAATTAAAGTATTAAACTCGTCGAAACGTCTAAACAAGATTACATTTCATCTGGAATGAAAACACGTAATTTTCAAACTTTTTATATGGTTTAGTTTTTATCATATTTTGAACATTTTCTTTTTATTTCTACTTGAATCTAATCCCATTTCAAAAGAATTATATTTAATGAATAAATCAACACTAGCGGAGGAAAAGATGAATAACGTCTAAATAGAAATTTACAAATATACAAAACCAAAAAGGAGCATATATCTAATATCACTATTTTAAAAAAGGAAAGAAAATAATTAAAATGATTATTCCATGCCCTTGAAATGCATGATAAAATATAAAATTACAATAATGGATTTTACAAAGATTGCAATATTGTAGTAATTGAAAACAAAGAAAATCCTTAGAATCTGAAGCAAAATTATAATTATACATTTCAACTAAATCACTTATCGTAAAAAGTCGGTGGAAAGTATGGATTTTATGTATATTATTGTGATAAATGTTTTTCTGAACAACTCTGCAACTGAACCTTCGAACTCAATGTTAATTTGAAACTATAAAAAATTTCAAATGTCTTTCTAGATGAACTTGATTTCTATTTCTTCGCAACTTGTTACTAAGTGATAGTTTTATATTATAAAAATATTAATTAAAAATTACATATTTGGTTTATAGTAATTGCTGTATATTATACTCATATTTGATTGGGCATCAAATGAGGCATTATGATATAATACATATACAGTTTATACACAAAAATTCAGGAAAGCATATTTGGCAAAACATTTTTTCTGTGTTTTTAATGCTAATATTAAATTTTCTAAAAGAGTTTGATTTAATTGACTGTACCATGCATTGTATTTGATACAATATCCTAAAATGTTTAACCTTTTTGAAAAATAATATGTTATCAAAATGTACATGAGAATTTATTCACTCTTTTTAGATATTAGGATTTAAATATTCTTGTCAATGTGATAAAGAATTTTACAGTGGAAAGAACAAAATGTGAATTTTTGAAAGCTATTAGAGAAGTTATCACTTTTAATGGAACACATTGCTTAAAGTTTTGATATCTGAAAAATCGCATGAAAATATATTGTCTTTTTAGATATCTTGTTTAATATAGTGTTGTCAATGTAATAAAGAATTTGTCAGCAGAAAAAACAAAATATGATTTTTGAAAGCTACAATAAATGAAAATTTTTAATAGAATATATTGCTTAAAATTTTTAAATCTGTTATTTAGCAAATATTTTGTAAAACAAAAGATATATTTTGTGCTAATATAACGTTAGTTAACCTTTCCTCTTGTTATTATACAGTACTGAAGTCAAGGTCAATTGGTACTACATATATAAATAATATAATGATGCAAATACTGTATTATGAAAGCAGAAGAGAAGTGAATCCATTTAATAAGTGTACCGTAATATATGCCTGAAGAGAAATTCTGCTAACTTCTCGAAGGAACTAGAAGAATTCTGCCATCTTTTTACAGAAATTATAAAAGTTTTGTTATATGTTTACAGAAACTAGATGAATACTGTTAAAAGTTTTTCTTAAAACGAGAAGAACTGTGTATCCTTTACAGTAACTAGAAAATTCTGTTAACCTTTTGCATAAACTAGAAGAATTCTGTTACCTTATTTCTGATAACTAGAAGAGTTCTTAATTTATTAATTCATTTATTACTTGAAGAACTAGAAGAATACCGTAACCTCTTTCTTGGAAACTAGAAATATGGTATCCTTTTGCGGAAATTAATATTAAAAAAGTTTACTGATGTGTAAAACTCGACTCGACAGTCGATTACTCGACTCATGTGTAAAAACATCAAATTTCACATGCCGATTTTGTGTAATATTTGTGTCATCAAGCATTAATTTAGTAATGGGTACTGCAAATGACTGACGTGGAATTTCATTGGCTTTCCACTGGAGGCAAAACGAAGAAGGGGCGACGATAGTGTGTCATACGAATCGGTGCCGCATGAGTTGCGGGACCGAGTTGGCCAAACGGCGGACGGAGCAGCCGAGCATCCGGGGTGGAATTCGAGCAGCAATCAACCGGAGGCTCTCCCGACCAGGGGTTTATGACAGCTCTGAAGGAAGCAAGAGCAGTGAATTGCAGCTTGCTGACTGCGAACGAGTAAGTACCTGTTCTTTCATTTATGCAGTTCTCGCGCAAGATAATCCAAAATAACGAACCTATTTTTATAATACTGGGTAGGACCAAAAAAAAAAAAAAAAAATATCCCACCGCCGGCGATAGTATTTATCTTTTTGAAAGCGATCTAATGTGTACACCACATGACTTCTTTGTACGGAATATTAAATTATACACAATTTTCCTGTGCACAAAAATTACATCATCTGAAGAATTACCACAAGTTCTATTCAAATACTATTATAAATCTAAACGATGTATCAAAAATTAAGCAAACAAAACAAAAAGAACATTTTTCACAGCTATTGAGTATTTCATTCAGTTAATTCAGTTCTCACATCGCGACAAGGGAAAAATACATAAAACTCAAAATATGTATTAAAAATTCGAAGTAAATCTCAAACACTATTTCTCGAAAAAATTCCCGAAAGGATTAAGCATGATTGAATTCGCAATAATAAATGAAGGCGTTATCTTTGTTGTTGCGAAGCTAATTTTCTCTAGATTGGCAACAAATCCACTAGTCCGCTGTTTAAAATGTAAACAAATATGGCCGAATGGCAAAAATAATTAGGCTTAGCAGCACATAAACAACATTTAAATTGTTGATAATTCTCAAAATATTGCATACAGATTTGCTAAAGGCATTAAAAACTTTCACCGGAAGATAAGAACAACATAATTCAATCATTTTTAAAGCAAAAAATTTACAATTTACAAACATATAAGAGTAAAGAAACTAAGATCACTGAGCCGGGTAACAGAGTGGATATATACATAAATATGTTTATATACGTTTGGTGCGGCCGATTGCAACCAAAATACGAGGTGCACATCTACAAGTTATAGTAGTCCTATACAAAACATTTCAACGTTCTGAGGCTACTCGTTTTTGAGTTATGCGAGATACGTACGTACGTACGTTCGTACGTACATACGTTCGTACAGACGCCACGAAATATTCTCTTCAGAATTCATTTCAAAGCAGTTTTATAATTTTTTTGGAGGAAAAGAGTCTTTTATTCTGTCCCTTACGTACAGATATCACGCAAAAACTTCGTTAAATTGCATTCGATAGCGGTCAAAATGGATATTTTCGTTAAAATATCTGCCTGAAATTTTCGCGATTACAATATTTCCTTTTTACTTCGTACAAGGAAGTAAAAATGCACGATTTACAAACATATAAGAATAAAGGGTCGCCCGATTGCAACCAAAATGGAAGGTGCACATCGACATGTTATAGCAGTCCTATATACAAAATTCCAACGTTCTTACGCTACTCGTTTTTGAGTTATGCGAGATACGTACTTACGTACGTATGTACGTACAGACGCCACGAAAAAAATCTCTTCAGAATTCATTTTAAAACAGTTTTATAATTGAGGGGATAAGAGTCCTTTATTTTAACCTTGCGTACAGATGCCACGCGAAAACATCGTTAAATTGCATTCGGTAGCGGTCAAAATGGATATTTTCGCTGAAATATAACCGCTGAAAATTTGCTGAAATATATAAGTATTGTAATTGAGGAAGTTAACTCGATTACAATAACTTGCTTTTTACTTCATCATCTTTCGTTTTTGCTACGCCGAATCACCGGATGGACAGTGAGCAATTGAAGAGGCTTCAGCCTCTTCCAAAGGACATACCATCAGAGTGGAAGTCATGCTACTTTTCCCTAAGACACCTTGTATAAAGTTTCATTTATCAATGTCTTTAACATAAAAAATCTTAAAGAGGGGAAGCATTTTGTATTATTGTGGCTGTATTACAAATTAGCAGTATAATCATGCTGGCTGTTCCTTTCTGTATGTGCTTCTTAAAGCCACTTGAAAAAAATCAGCTTTGTAAGAGAAAAAATTAAGAATTTCAACGTAATAAATAGAAGTTAGGTTAGAATGAAGTTTAAAACTATGTTCCTTGCTGCCATCATCCTCAGGTGGTTCTGGAAAACCATCGAAATTAGTCCTGTGAAAATTTGAAAACATAAACGCTAGTTTTTGTTGTTTGACTTCTAAATCATGCTTTAATATTCTGTGTAAATAAATAAGTTTTCATAATTATTACTGAACACGCCTTGTTTCTTCAAATCTTTCCCAGTATTGCCGTTTATTGGCAGACGATTAGTAAAAAGTTATATTATTCCCACATATCTAATCTCTTTTTTCACTGTGTCATTTCGAGACTAATCCATGTCATATTACTCTTGCATAACGTTGGTGATGTAAATAGAACTAAAACTCAAACAGCCAATTATAGTTTTACAGCAGTATTAATTATCTAGTCAAAGTGCATTAAGAATCGTAACTAACGCATTCTGCATTAAGATTTCATCCTGAACACAACGCATCTGCTTTCTACACTTCGACCTAGCTAAACTGCTATCTGCTGCTCTCTTTTAACTGCAAAGCGAAGAAAAATGTAAACCTTTTGAAACAGGCACAAAATGGTGTGCCAAAATGCTTGTGGCCGCAGCATGTTTACCGACATAAGTATGAAGATTTATTCTGACTCCAATGCCAGTTTTCTATTCATTACGGATTCAACATTCTAAGTATCTACGCCATCAATATTTCTACATTCTATGCTTTCTACGTTTCTACATCATCAATTGTTTCTACAATATCATTGTTTCTAAAACTGTTTTTCACTACTTAATAGAGAGATAGAGAGTAATGAGGTACATTCCACAAGAGAAGGGGAGGAAGAGTGACCTTGTTTGTATACACTAGCTATGCGAAAGTCACGTGATCTTAAGCTGATCTACATTACTGGTTTACATTAGCTGAACATGAGGCACGTGATCTCTGAGGTCATTAGAACATATCCATGAGCCTTATAAGAGATACACAAACCCAGTGGGCGGGACGCGCGTCACCGACATGTCGGCAAGAACGAGTAGGGACGATCTGGTTTATTTTAACATTGAAACCTATGGCGTTTGTATAACATAACTGTTTTTAATTATTAAATGTGAAACGTTGTATAGTGATGAGATTATGAAAGTCACAGTTTTTTTTTTTCAAATAGGATTTAATATATCTCATTAAAGCACTTTTTACTGCATTTCGCGCATTTTTTTCACGCGTAATTCTTGTACAGACATCTTGACTTTGGTAAAACGATAAAAACTCTAAGTATAAAATTTATGAACTTAATTTTGTGTACAAATAAAGTAAAATTAAATAAGATTGATAGTACCTGATGCTTTGAAATAAATAAGGTAAAATTAAACAAGATCGGATAATTTTTTTTTTTAATTTAATGAAAATTTTTCAAGCAGTGGTTTTCAAAATTATAATAACATTACAAAACGATCATTTATTTGATTATATGATCATTAAATTATTAACAGTACAAATGGATTATTTATTTTAATAATTCATAAAATTCGGAGCATAAAATTTTCTGAGTGTGATAAAGGGGAAAAAAAAAAAGATAAAATGAAATCTAGAAGCACTCAGATTTTATATTACGCCCAAAAGGGACCTTTTTTGTGTGTTACCTGTATTTATTGAATATCATGTTCTTCGCCCGTAAACCACATAAAATTCAATTCAACAACAATATCACAAAATATTTTAAAACAGCATATCTTTAGAATTTCCGCACTGGAAATAAAAATGTTATTTTCGGTACAGTGTTACCATTGCTCGCTTTGAACTCTTAGTTTGTTAATAAAAGAAAATCATTAAAGTTTTATAAAATATGAAATTGATTAAAACAAATTCGAAATTCGGCCGTCCAGATGCCCATGTTCGGGTGGAGGATTACGTTATTCAGAATTTGATGGCTCTAGATACAGTTGTTTTTGTCACAGTGCGAGAAACATACATGTATTCATGCAGATTCTTCATTATTTAATTTCTTTAAATATAATATAGGGCGATAATATTTGATAGCAACAATTTGCAAGGAGACACGGACATTTATAGTGAAACAACGCAAAATGCCGCTTCGAAACTAACAGCCTTTCTAGGCTAACGCCCCTTTGGGCTAATAAATTAAATTATCAGTTAATAAAAAAATCTTATGCAGAACTAAAAATAAATTTAAAAATTAATCACTATGATATAGAAGCAAAATTAATTATTAAAGTTAAAAACAATTTCAATATTAGAATTAAATGTATAAAAATTATTAAGGAGTCAAAAGTATTTATCATTATCATGTATTATGAAATATAATTAAAATAAAATTCCTTTACAGAAATCGTGCTATAATACTCATCTATAATTTAAAAAAAACAGCACAATTTAGAATTTTAAAGAAAACTTTCAAAAATTCGTTTTTAAATATTTTAGTATTTTTCTCTTATTTACACCAATAAAAACCATAAAAATTGCAAGAGAAAATTGCTTGTTTGAAATTTTCTATTAGGTCAGATTAAAAATATTATTTGCTCAAAGAAGTAGTTACAAATTTCCTTACAGCATAAGAAAAGCCAAAAAAATATCCAGCCTTGAAAGCATGCGACAGCTTTATAATGTAATTATTTAGAACGCAAATTATGCTTGATAAATATGCTAAATTTTTAAAAAATCAATCTCAGTTTCAAAAATAAAAATATGGAGAAATTCTAATTTGTGAAATGAGGCGCTACAGCCAGCTTTTTCTTGACAATTATACACGCTGCAATAGGCAAGCACTATTAAATTTCTGCAAGTCCGTATCTACTCCTCTGGATGTGTTCAATATGACAGCCGGGAAACGCGTCAGACGAGGGAGAAAACCCATTTAGGTTGGTCTATTTCTTATAAGATCTAAGAACGTATCTCATTACATTATTAGTGTTCTGAATGCTCATCATTGCCAGTTTCAAAATGACATTCTTTACAACATATACAAGTATTGCTTTTTATTGGCAAGTTCTATAACAGTCGTTGTATCTATAGAGGAAAAAGATCCAATTTTATTTTTGATATGGTTTGTGAGCAAAACTTTCTAACCAAATAAAACTATTATCTATGTTTCAAAAA